TTTGCTGGAGAATATATCTGGTGCTTGTTTTTCCATTCTTGGGATACTTCACTTAGTAGTATGGGTTCCAGCTCTAACCAGGAAAATATAAGATGTGCTATATCACCATTGTTTCTTAGAGCTGAATAGTACTCCATGGTATACATATACCACATTTTATTAATCCATTCTTGGATTGATGGGCACGTGGGCTGTTTCCACAGCCTTGCAATTATGAATTGTGCTGCTATAAACATTCGAGTGCAGGTGTCTTTTTTGTAGAGTGTCATTGGATCATTTGGGTAGATGCCCAGCAATGGGATTGCTGGATCAAATGGTAGATTCACTTGTATCGCTTTAAGGTATCTCCATATTGCTTTCCACAGAGGTTGAACTAGTTTGCAGTCCCACCAGCAGTGTAGGAGTGTTCCTCTCTCTCCGCAACCACGCCAGCATTTATTGTTTGGAGATTTTTTGATAAAGGCCATTCTCACTGGGGTTAAGTGATATCTCATTGTGGTTTTGATTTGCATTTCCCTGATGATTAGAGATGTTGAGCATTTCTTCATATGTTTGTTGGCCATTCTTCTGTCTTCTTTAGAAAAATTTCTGTTCAAGTCCTTTGCCCACTTTTTAATGGGGTTATTTGATTTTTTCTTCCTAATTTTCGTGAGTTCTAAGTATATTCTAGTTATCAGTCCCTTATCGGATGTATAGGATGCAAAAATTTTCTCCCATTATGTAGGTTGTCTGTTTACTTTCATGACTATTTCTTTGGCTGTGCAGAAGCTTTGTAGTTTGATCATGTCCCATTTATTTATTTTTGTTGCTGCTGTGATTGCCTTTGGGGACTTCTTCATAAACTCTTTGCCCAGGCCAATGTCTAGGAGAGTGTTTCCAACTTTTTCCTCTAGAGTTCTAATAGTTTCATATCTTAGGTTTAAGTCTGTTATTCAGCGTGAGTTGGTTTTTGTGAGAGGTGAAAATCCCATCAGCATTCTTCACAGATATAGAAAAAATAATTTTACGCTTCGTATGGAACCAAAGAAGACCCCGAATATCAAGAGCAATTCTAGGCAACAAAAACAAAATGGGAGGCATTAATATGCCAGATATCAAACTATACTACAAAGCTGTAGTAATTAAAACAATATGGTATTGGCACAAAAATAGGAATATTGACCAGTGGAACAGATGTGAGAATCCTGATATAAAACCATCCTCATATAGCCATTTAATCTTTGACAAAGCAGACAAAAACATACGCTGGGGAAAAGAATCCCTCTTCAATAAATGGTGCTGGGAAAACTGGATAGCCACCTGTAGAAGGCTAAAACAGGATCATGTTGTTTAATTTCAATGTATTCGTATAGTTTCTGACGTTTCTCTTGGTATTGGTTTCTAATTCTGTTCCACTGTTGTCTGAGACAATATTGGATTTATGGTTCTAATTTTTAAAAATTTGTTGAGTCTTGCTTTGTGCCTATGTGCTGATAAGAAGAATGTACATTCTCCAGTTGTTAGATAAAGTGTTCTGGAAATATACATTAGGTCTATTTGTTCTAAAGTCTAATTTAAGTCAAGTGTTTTTTGTTGATTTCTATCCTGCTGATCTATCTAGTGCTTTGAGGGGAGTATTGAAGTTCGCTATTATTATTGTATTGCTGGCTATATCTTTCTTTAGGTCTAGTAATTTTTGCTTCATGAATCTGAGTGCTCCTAAATTGGATGCACTTATATTTAAATTTGTTATATCCTCTTGCTGAATTGATCCTTTTATCATTATATAATGATATGATATCCTTTGTCTTTTTTTTTTTTACTCTTCTAGAGTAAAGTCTATCTTATCTGATATAACTACTCCTGCTTGCTATTAATTTTTCATTTGTGTAGAATATCTTCTTCCACCCCTTTACTTTCAGTTTATATGTGTCTTTACAGGTAAGATTGCTTTCTTATAAACAGCATACTACTGGATCATTTTTAAAATCCATTCTGCTAATCAATTATAACTTTTAATCCATTTACATTCAAGGTTAATATTAATGTGAGGTTTTGTTCCTATTCCTATTGTCAATTATCTAGTTGTTTTCTGAATTCTTTGTTTCATTCTTTTTCTCTGTTTTTTGTCTCTGTGGTTTGTTGGAATTTTGTCATCTTCCCTTTTGATGTCTTTATCTTCCTCCTTTGTGTGATTATTTTATAAGATCTGTGAGCTTTATACTTTCATGTGCTTTTATGATGTCAAATATCTACCTTTCATTTCATAATTAGGACTTCTTGTAGGGCTGGTCTATTGAAGACAAATTCCCTCAGCATTTGCTTGTCTAGCTAGAAAATATTTTTCCTTCATTTGTGAAACTTAATCTAGCTTGATATAAAATTCCTGGCTGATAGGTTTTTTTCTTTTAGCATTTTGAAAATACCACCCCATTCTATTCTGGTTTATAAGATTTCTACCGAGAAGTTTATTGTTAATCTTATGGAGTTTCCTTTATAGGTAACTAGATACTTTTCTCTTGCTGACTTTAAAATTCTTTCTTTCACTTTGACTTTAGGTCAGATGACAGTGTGGCATGATAAAGTCCTTTTTGCAATGTATTTTTATGGGGATTGATGTGCCTGTTGTATCTATATGTCTAAATTTCTTGCTGGACTTGAGAAGTTTTCACCAAGTATTTCCTTAAATAGTTTTTCTAAAATTTCTGATTTTCTTACCCCCTGGGAATATGGATAATTCATAAGTTTGGTCATTTTATATAGTCCCATGTGTCTTGAAGATTTTGTTCTTCTTAAAAAAAAAATGTTGTCTAACTGAATTATTTCAAAAGAACTGTCTTCATATTCTAAGATTCTTCTGCTTGGTCTAATCTATTGTTGAAGTTTTCAAATGTATTTTGTAATTCTTTCAATAAATTTTTCAGTTTCACAATGTCTGTGTTTTTTTTTTTTTTTAATTTTTTTTTAATGTCTATCTCCTTGGTAAATTTCTCATTCATATCCAGAATTGATTTTCTGATTTCTTTGTATTGTTTTTCAGAGTTCTCTTGCATTTCACTGAGATTCTTTAAAATCATTATTTTGAATTATTTATCTGGCATTTTGAGGACTTGTTTTTGGTTAGGTTCTATTGCTGGAGAATTATTGTTTTTGATTGAGGGTATCATAATACATTGATTTTTTTTATGCTTCTTTTATCTCTGCATTGATTTTTGCACATATGAAGCAACAATTGCTTCTTCTTATTTTTGCATTAACTTTCATTAGGGAGGGGACTTTTTCTTGAAGATGAAACTATGATAAGTGTTAGGGAGGGCTGTTTAAATTTTCTTCTGGTTGTATGCAATGGGAAAAACTCTGCATGATTTCCTTGGCTATAAATAGTCTTAGAGTGGTAGCTTTCTTTAATACCAGTTGTAGTAGCAGTGTACTGGGCAGGTGAGAGGACTCATGGCCTCATGAGCAACGTCAGAGTCTTGACTATTACACAGACATAGAAATTGTAATTAATTGAGCCACTGTCTATGAGTAATGTGACTATCACCTAAAAGTAAGCTAAAGCAAATGCAACTTCCAAAGTTTTCCTTTGTGCCAGGGGAATATTACCTCTTTCAATAAAGTTTAACATTATGAAGGAGCTAAAAGTTACATTTTGTTTGGAAAAAAAATCACTTGTTAAGCTTTTCAGTTACTGAATTATTGATAATACTATAATTTATGCCATTGAATCACTTTGGCAACTATAGTACTATAACTAGATTTTTGTAGACATATAATACAAGCAGTAATATTTTAAAATTAAGTGTACTTTAGGTGACTTATGTTGAAGATATGGCCTGAATTTAAAGTAATGCTCTGTGGAATTTTCTGCTGCTGTGAGAAATGATGGCAACCTCTACCGTTCATTTAAATCTGCAAGATTCTGTATGTACTCTATGGCTGGAAAGTCCCCATACCTAAAGTGATCAAAAAAGATAAAATAAGGATTTCTTGCACTCTGAGAATCTTAGTGGCTTTGGGGAGCAGTATGGGCTCTAACTTGATCACCTTCCTGCTATTTCTTGCCTCACTTCTATTAATAGTTAAGAAAAGCATCTCTGAGATTATGCCCAGCATGTTTTGGGGGACTTTAAAAATAGTATGTCAAATGGGTACGGAAGTTGAAGTTTTTACAATTGGGGGTAAAACATATAAAGGCTTTAGGATTTTTTTCATGCCAATTATCATAATATAGCTTTTACCTATCAATTCAGTCATGATAATTTCAGAATCTTATAGAAACCCTTGTTCACTGTGGAATATTAGACAAGTGATATGGTTTTATCAAAAACATACAAGAATGAATGACACTTTTCATTTTTTTTCCATAGAGTGTTCTTGGCCTTGTAAATGTATAGAGCTTATAAAACTTAAAAATGAGTTCATAATAAGTGAATTAGACATATTTATGTGTTTTATTAAAATATTTGATATTAATTTTTCTTTTAGATAGTTTTAGTTTTAAAAACTATTTTCTCTGAAGTTTTAGTGTGAAAGCCCTATGACTGGGTTATTTTTGAACCACTCCTGGCAGGATTTCCAGGTAAAACAGACTTTTCATGTATTGTCAGTCATTCTATGTTACTTTTGCATGTCTTTGCAGAAACTTGCAGCTCCTTGAAAACTGACATTATTTTACAATGAAAGAGAAAGAGGTCTAATGCCAATCATTTTTTAGTAAACTTTATTTTGCAATAATTTTAGATTTTCAGAAAAATTGCAATGATAGGTCCCATATATTCTTTATCTGGCTTCTCCCACAATACATAGCCACTATATATTTATCAAATTAAGAAATTAACATTAGTACAGTACTATTAACTAAACTTCAGATTTTATTCTTATTTTGCCACTTTTTCTATTAATGTCTTTTTTCTGTCTCAGGATCCAATCCAGGACTGCTCATTGCATTTAGCCACAATGTTGCCTTAATTTGCTCTAAACAAGACAGTTTCTTGGTGTTTCCTTACCTTTGACATCCTTGACACTTCGGGCATTTTGTAGATTGTTCCTCACTCTGTGTTTGTCTGATGCTTTCCCATAATTAAACTGGGGCTATGGATTTGAGGAAAGAACGCCATAGAAGTGAAGTTCCCTTCTCATCATATCATTTCAGGGGATATGTGATATCAATATGACTTTTTACAGGGGACGTTAACTTTGATCACTTGATAAGGTGGTCAGGGCTTAGTTCTCTCCATTCTACAGTTACTATTTTTCCCTTTTTGTGTTCTGTTTATTAGAAGAAAGTCATTAAATCCCACACACCCTCAAGGGGAGAAAAATTAACTCTACCTCTTAGAGAAAGTAATATCAGAGAATCTGTGGACATTATTAAAACCACTCCAATTTAAGGCCACACAAATATCATGTTTCTCTGAAAAGTTATGCATTCTAATACTAGCTTCATTGTGAATCTTGTCTGCTGCAATTATTACTATGAGGTTCTACTGAGGATTTTCTATTTCCTTTGTATCTTCTACCTTTATTAATTAGAATTATTCTGCAAGGAAAATTTGTCTCTTCTTCCCCATTTATTTATTCATTCATTATTTATTTACTAAATTATTTGTATATAAATATGGACTTAGGGATGCTTATTTTGTTCTCTGGGTTATAATCCCTTACCATTTTCATTTAGTATATTGCTCATTGCTCAAATTATTCTAGCTTTGGTCATTCCATCTATTTCATACTGCTTCTATGTCCTTTTGACATGCACCCTACCTTATTTTCTTTTTACTTTATCACTGCTTTACTTCCTGGCACTATAAGATGCTCCAGGATCATCTTGTATTTTCCCTGCCCCAGATTAGAGTCAGCTATTTCCCTAAGGAGTCTTGGCTTTTTTCGTTGAAGAAAGGTATATAAAAACCAAAGTCTGGACATTCAATATGTTTGCTGGTATTCGAGTGTGTCATTCTATCTACCACCTCTTAACAAAGAGGCCCAGGGCATGTTACACACCCATGTATATACACATATCTATGCCTATATAGATGTATGCTTGCATGTATGTATCTGTAGATCTATAAACATAGGCATGAGTTCATCCTGACGTCTCCAACTTTAACTCAACAGCACAGAGTCCTTGCTCTGGCCAGCTATCTGTAACTTCTTTCTCTGGCAGTGATAAATCTGGCTCTCATTATTTACAATATGTTTGTTTCTTTGTCTATCGCTAGTACACAAGTAGAGTAGTTTCAGCATGTCTAACATATACTGATAAAAGAAATGAATGTATCAATTAGAATACTGTATTTGTAAATACTTATTTTTGGCTTTCGTGATAAAGTATCTAATCAAAACATTGTTTTCAAAGTTTCTTAAGTCAGCTCTTTTTGTGCCCCCACTCTTTTAGTGAAGTTATGTCATACAGACAGTTGAAGTAATTTGTCACAGTCTGGGTTCTCCCCTCATCCTGGGGTCTCCCAACACACTGGTTGACTTTTTAAAACATTTACAAGGAGTAAAGCTCCCTCTTTATGGTGTACAATTCTATAGATTTTGAAAAATGCATAGAGTAGTATATCTACCACCACTAAATTATTTATAAATATGGACTTAGGGATGCTTATTTTATTTTCTGGGTTATAATCCCTTACCATTTTCATTTAGTATATTGCTCATTGCTCAAATCATTCTAGCTTTGGTCATTCCAGCTATTTCATACTGCTTCTATGTCCTTTTGACATGCACCCTACCTTATTTTCTTTTTACTTGTACCACACAGAAAACTTCCATCATGCTAAAAATACCCTTGTGTGTGTGTAGCCGAGCATTTTCAAATACCCTCTAATAGCACCAGCCTTTTACTTGGACACATTTCCGATAGCAGCTTAAATCTCTCAGACCTGTAGCGTAGCAAACATACTTCACAAGAGGAAGGCAAACAGAAAAAATAAAGAAACAAAAATGTTTTATAGGAATAATGGCTGAGTTTTCCTGAAAATTAACTAAGGCTTCATTGAAGAGATTGTATTAGTATTTTTCTTGTTTATCTGTGCAGTAGAGAATGCAAACTGCTCTAAATAGGACCTAGGTTGGTATATACACATTGACGGAATTACCAAACATAACAATTTTGATCCTCATCTTTATAAATTAATGTATGCCTGATTGAGCTCTGGGAAGCTGACTTGTAAAAGCTGACTCCTCAATTCTCTCTTGTTTTTCCATTCACACTGCCTCGATTCAGCTCTGTATCATCTCTCATCTAAAACACTAAAATAATCTCTTAACTGGTTTCCCTCAGGCAAGTGTCTTCTAACTATAAATCTTTTCCTATATACACTCCAAATTTATCTTTTGAAAATCTAAATCTGACTATGTTTCTCCCTAGATTAGACACTCATGCTAATTTGCCATTAGGAGGATCCCTAAACACCTTTGCATGCCCACATATCATCCCAACTGACCTTGCTAGGCAAACCTATGCACCTCATAAAGTCATTCTTTGAGCATACAAACATCTTCCCCAATCCCCAGATAGACTATCTGGGCCCTCCTGTATATGTACCTTGCCCCTGTTCTCTCTTTGAAAAACACTAACCCACCCTTCAAAACCCAATCAAATTTCATTTCTTCTGGAATCCTTCACCCTTCTCAAGTGAACTTGTTTATTTTTTCTTCTTCCTGTGCTTTCTGTGCTCACAAGGCCTTTCCATACCATATCATGTTGTGTTATATTTGTTTATGTTTGTCTCTCACAAAGTTTGAGCTACTTGAAGAAAGAACATTGACTTTCACCTTTCACTGCAAAGGGAATAGTCTACTAGCACAGTCTCTACCCCTAAGACCTAGAGAATGCCTGGCTTATGAGTTGGAACTTGGTAGATATTTGTGGTGTGAGTGAATGATTGTTAGGCTAGAATGTGAATTTAGACAATCATGCCAGAAATAAAATGGCAGAACCGGCTATAAGGGTCTCCTGGGCACATTAGTTCATTTTTTTTTCCCTCTAATTGCTTGCTGAATCAGGGAAGTGAGGACTGGTTGATCATCAGAGAGAATATCAAGGCATAAAAGTCAGCTCCATCACAAAAATATGTCTGACAAGAAGCCCCAAAAAACTTGCGTTAATCACCGATATACTCTCTGTTGCATAATTCTGGAGCTTGTGGTATGTTCTTTACCACTGAATTAGCTTATAATCATTATTTCTAAGGCTTTTGGCATTATGTACTTTTTATCTGAGAGTGAAGGTAGAAGACAACTTAGTCTCATCAGCCACACATTAAAACCACCTCTTACAATGGGCTACTTGAGAGAAGATTTCAGCAATGGCTCACCTTGTGTGTTTCATTTTGAGTCATGCTAGTTTAAACAGAGAGACATAGATTCTTATCTTGTTTAAACAGAGAATCTATATATCTTGTCTCTCAATTATATGAATACATCTACTTTAGATCTTCCAGCCATCTCCATCCTACCCTCCCCAAGACCATATATATTTCTCTATTTACAAATTAAATGAGTTGACATTATATTAAAGATGTAAATTATTCTGCTAAATTTGGCTTTATTTTATTCAAGTGTTCCAGGCTATGTGGGTCCATCTGGGTTCTAATGCTTTCATACATCATATTAAGTCTCTGCCATAGCTTTGTATCATCTGCATATTTGATTCCAAATATCTGATTTCTATATCTTCTTCTAAACCACTGATAAAAATTTTGAGAAGCACACAATAAATAATAAAGCCTTGTGGGACATATCTAAAGATACTTCTTAAAATAATTAATGGGAATTCTTTAAACTTGTATAACTATATAACCAGTAATGAACTCATCTAAATCAGCAATCCCCAAAGAGTAGAGAAATGGTGGTGTTTCAGATGATGTCCATGGGTGCATGCATAAATTTCAGTGAGAAGCAGGGGCATGTGTGAATTTTGTTATAAAAACTCCAAAGGTGATTCTGATATACAACTTCTACCTTGTAGTCTCCCCCCAATTTAATTGGATCATTAAGTCCATACAAATTTTTCAGGAAAAAGCATATCCTTACACTTCAATTAAATAGTTAAACCATGTAAATGAACCATTTTTAACATTAAAAATTTCACTTATATAATTTCTGGGTCACAAATACTTGCTGAGTTCTTTGTTCTTCCACAGTCTATGAATTTGGGGAGTATTTTACTTTAAACAAATGTCCAGTCACACGTACATGCCCAAATCTAACATGGTAGTTAGGTTTTTATGTTCCCCAGTGCACTGAATGCAAAACCTACACTAGCGTGCCTACATTTGAAGAACAAGTCGAGGACACGAGAGAGCGACTTAAGCCCTTAAAGAGGGGCTCATTGGGCTGCAGACTCTGCAAAGGGAATAGTCTACTAGCACAGAAGGAAAATGAAGAGTAAGTACCATGCTTGATCCAGTGACTTCCTGGCATGGAGAAATAATGGGCCTGGCTTTAGGGACTCTGAAGCAGTTTAGGACTAAGTACAGTATTGCCACTGCTTCTGGCAGAAACAGCTACACACCAAGAAATGCCTTATGTGAGAAAATGACACTGAGGCTGAATTAAAACTTGAATTATGTTATACATCTATAAACTGGCAAACAGTATTATGTCACCATTTAGACTCTATTTTTAAGAGTTTGGAGACATGCAGTGTGAAGGAAGAAATTCACCCTGGGGCTTCTCCATCCTACTTCTCATATTCGACACACACAATCATGGGAGAACCATGTTCTTTTTTTGTCCAATTCAATTCCATCAACACCCCCTAAAATTCAAGATAAAATACAAATACCACTCTTTCCTATGGGCACAAATTAATGTGAAGAAAAGCTATCACCAAGATGGTGCCTCTTCCTGGTTACCCTGAGCAATACCTTGGCAGCAATATGAGTTTTAGATCCTTTCGCTCTGCCTTAGGAAGAATGCTACATAACCCCACCTTCTCCTGCTTCCTGTATTCTAGGTGTTAGTGTTAGCCAGTTATTACTTTAGAACATTCCCACGTACAAAAAACTGCTAATGCCTTTTTAATGGGGCTCCCCAAACTGCTCTAGGTACTCACAAACCCATCCATTCTTCCCCTA